CCGAAGGGGGGGGGGGGGGGGGGGGGTCCTGATCTTTAATTTTTTTTTCTTTTCAAAATAATAGTGAGGAACACTGTTGTCTCCTTAAAAGCAACATTTTCAAACTTTGGATATACCTGTAAGCAAAACCCATGATCTTCTTTCACTTTAATTTTAGCTCTATGCTTTCGAGCATACTTACACAGGCCAGTATTAAAACCAATTAATTTTAAAGGAATAAGCAGGTCTGGAGTGCTCATTAACCAAACATAATTCAGAAATGAACAGATATTTTTGTCTGTTCTTTGCACTGTATTTTTAAGAGCATGTTTTGGTCAAGACAGGCATAAATAAGGCAGAGAGTGAAATGCAATGGAAAAAAAATCTAGATATTCTGTTGAGCCCCACTGCTGTCTCATGTTTGTGCAGAAGACGCATGGAGTCCTGTGTTATGGCTGGTGTCCAGAAGATGTTATAATGATCCTGTGATCATCCATCTGCTGTAACACTTTCTGACACCCACAGCTGATTGTTACTGCTGCATATTGACCTGAATGTTTGCAGTGGTATTATCTTGTCTGTCAACATATGTGGGTCCATAGTATGGATTTTTCTGGACATTTTCACCTCTGTCATAGTAGATACATTTCTAAGGTCAGATGCTGCTTTTATGACAGCAGTATGGGATATTTGGAAATATTTAGTAAAAACTTCCTGTAGCATTAGAAGCTTTTTGCTTTTCTGAAACCCCTACAATTCCTCACTGCTCCCTTTCATGTTCATTCAACTAAGCTTTAAAATAATCAGGACCTTCCTTTTATATTCATTCATCCTTCTGAGGCTGGATGTTTCTCTCTGAATTCTGTGGTGCTTCCATATTTAAAGAGCTAATTTAGCATTTATTTTATTTGAGCAGGAGGTGATGAAATAGGCACTTAACTAACTAACCTTTATTTTTTTCCCTGGTCCTTGCTCTGTGATGTATAGCATGTTTCTCTCTGATAATCATCGTCACAGCTACTTTGTAGGTATTGAAATTGTTTCTTCTTTTTCACAGTAAAATAAAAAGATGGCCAAAAAACTAAAAAGATTCTCCCCCTGAGAATTTTGTGTTACACTTAAGCATACAAGATGCCTCAAATAGTATAATGCTAAAAAAAGGAATAAAAATTGTACTCTATTGAGTGAATGATTCATCCAAATCATTGAGTTTATATTAGGTATTAAAGCAAATGCCTACCGATACTCCACAGAAAAGGATCATGCACATTTCAGGGAGGTGGAAAAAGGCCTTGAGATCCACTTTTTTGTTATAGAGATAATGTAATTGAACTATTGCACAACTTGGTGGTATGTTTTTTCCCATCAAGTCTAAAGGGGATCAATTAGTATGTATAAAATTAACATATTAAAATAAGGTGTTGTAAAAGAAATGTAAATCACCAATACTGTAATTTCCTAGACCAGGTGATAACAATACCAGCATAATATTTTGTTCATATATTTGCAAGAAATGTCCCTGAAACCTCTTCATTAAATTATTTGCACTCATTGCTTACTGAGCTAACTCGCTCCCTCGTGGAGTTGCTCTGCCTCCTGATTGTGCTGGTGGTGGCTCAGATCTGACCTGCCCACTTCCTTGCTTTAGCTAATGGGTGTTTGGAAAGCTCTGCTTGCAGAAGGAGAATCCTCTTCTGGCTGAGGTCGAATCACACTGTCTCTCTTTCTCCTTCCTAGTTAAAAACCACTGTTCACAAAGCTATGTTATGTTGCTGCCAAATTTTACAGAAGGACCTGTGGAAATACTTATTGTAAACATTTAGTGCAGGATTGCACTGAACTGCAGCAGGTTGAAACAAGATCATGACTAGGCTAGAGCGTATTTCTAAACTAGCAAGGCTGAGAGCACAGACAGAAACTGAAGACTGAATGACTGCTCACTTTCTGAACAGCTAGGACTTCAGTGGTTGTAATGAATGCTGCCTGAAAACCTACTATGGGGATTTAAACAATTTTGGAGTCTTCAAGAGAGACAAGAGTATAAATAATCTCATTTGCAAAAGAAGGCAAAAATTAAGCAATCATGACTGTTCTGTAACCTGCCACAATGTTTTTATTGTGACTCATTATGGAAGTACAGCTGAGAACGGTCAGTGTAACTTGCTCAATTGGCAGAAATAAAGTAGATCAGCAAACTGCAACTCCAAATCGATGGTGGGTTACATAAATTTAGCTTTTGTATACGTAGCTTTTGTATGTGCTCCCTCATTGTCTGAAGATTACCACAAGCCTAAAAAAACATGAGGAAAGAAATGGAAAAATGTTCTAGCGATACATTATAACACAAGTCCATGCTGAAAGAAATCAGATGCCCAAAAAGCTGTTGATCTACATATGTCACTGTTGACTGAAATTTAATTTACCGAAATCAGTGTGAGGTAAATCATAGTCAGACACACACGACATAATGATGAACACTGGCGCACCTACCTTGACTCACTGACAGTCTCATCGCTGCCAGACTTTGGTCACCACCTCCATTGTTTATGCATATGAAGAAATTAAAGAAATGAGAGAGCTCACATACAATGTCAGGTTGATTGGGTTAGCTTGAATTATTGTAGTGCCTGAATTAATCCAAGCTAGTTAACTTTGTGGCAGAGTGGATGTGGAGCATTTCCACAAGCAGTTGCAGTTCCAGCTGTGGGTAGTTGATCCCTTCCAGCTAAGAGTAGTAAACCTGGTTCTTACACTCTGTAACATAAAAGCTCGCTGGCTTTTTGACAGGTGATGCTGGAGGTTCCGTTCAAATTCAGAAGTCAGTCTAGGCATTCTGCCTTTTCATCTTGATGCTGAAATACCATTGCCCAAAGTGGCTTCATTCTATGAAGCAACCAATACAAACATCCTGATTCACTGGGACAATTTTGAAGTAGGCAAGAGGCTTAAAGTCATGCACATGCATATGTACTAACTAAAGTAAGATGGAGCTCATGCACAGCCTATTAATCATCCTGTGTGTTTAAGGAGCAGACATTTGTCCCCTATCTGTCATCTGTGGGTTTATTTTAAACATGTTAAATGGAAAAAAAGCATTTCTTTCACTCAGTCATGTTTAGAAGCTATTGCAATACCATTCTGAGCTTGCTAACCTTCAGGTGTCATGCTTCATGGTTTATGGTGGTTGCTTAATAAACAAAGCCTGTATGTGTGACCATGCTCATCCCTGTTGTAAACTTGACTCCAAATAAATGATGCTTGCATTCACATATTATGAATTTTGGACTTTGAATAGGTTGCTTGTGGTCTTTTTTGCTTGTTATGTATATTCTCTCACAGAATTGGTTAATGAGGGTTTACTTATGAGTTTTACATCCTTTTATATCTGCTTATTAAATTTGTATCTTCACAAGACTCAATAATTCAACATTGCCAGCAAATGGTTATTTTATTTTTCACACTCTAACTTTTCTCCTTGGGAATTAATTTTCTTAGTTACTTTAAAAATTGTCACTCAATATTTGTAATAGCAAAAGTAACACCAGGAGAAAGTGGAATAAGGTTAGCTTTTGTGAATCAAGAGACTTCTCAGAATTCAAGACATTATTATTTGGACACTGATTGTTAGATTTTGTTTTGTTTTGTTACATCTCAGATGAATTAATGGAATTCATTATTCCATGGAAAACTGAGGTAATCTGCCTTTAAAAAAAATAAAGGGGAGGTGCATAGCTGGGTAACCATGAAGCTGTTTATCCTGAATGACATAGGAAATAGAAGAAATTGAATGGGAAAGTGGAAAGCTGTCTCTGACACACCCTAGAAAAATGAAAACAGCAGTAGCGTTAATACTCCTAAACCGTGGTGGTCACACACACCTGTTTGGCATGGAAAGATTCTACTGTTTTGAAATTCTGTTTGTAAAATGGGCATTAGAGGTGGGTATGGCAGTGTTTAACAACAGATGGGATTGGCTCCAGTGCCCATTTCATTCATCTAAACTTTTCACGTACTAACTCTTCTGCAAGACTGCTCACATGCTGAACTGCTGAGCGGCTTTCAGTGGGATACCGTATTTTGCTACTGTTTCTGTCCAGCTTCCATTTATTGTGGAATATCAGTCCAAAATTATACTGCTTTACAAACACAGATTGCATAGTAGCCAACCCTAGATCAGTGTTTGAGTCCTGCTTGAGATCCTGTGCAGAGCAGAGCTTCTGAGCTGAGTGACTTAAATAGCTCCCTGAATCCATTAGCTTCTACGTTTAAGATTTTGTGTCTTGGGCTCTGGCTAAAAGATTTGTCTTGAAGGAAATACTTTGTTATTCAGGCTAACTCATTTCTTTTCCTTTTACTAGTGGGCTCTTTACAGCACACAACATAAAGGTGTTGAGGAAAAAAAGGAACTAATAGCTTTTAAATAAACTTAGGAGTATCTTTTCCTCAGACCACGGTTTATGGTTACCAATAATATCCCTGCAGACTTCCTGTAGTTAAAAGAAGCAGCAGCAGCAGCATGTGACCCCAGGAATCTAAAAGTAATCTGCAGAAAGGAACTCAAGTTGCAGCCAGCTTTGACAGATTAAAATGATATATTGAACAGAATTTTTAGCTTTGTCTTTTTGGAGGGGAAGGAGACCCTGTGTTTGGAGCCAACTGGAAGCTATGTCTGCAGAACATGGAGCAGGAGAACACAAGTCTGAATGCGAGTGCAACTTTGATCCAAAAGCAAGGTGATCAGGTTAGGGACAGCTAATGCACCATTTTGGGTGACTGCCAGGAAGTAATAATTGTCTTTGTTAACAGCCCTGGTCATTAAGAGTTTTATTCTAAAACCAATAACCTAGTCAAGTCATTTTTTAAAAACACTTATATATAAAAATAAGATGCATATTTGTATGTATCTGTGTATACTTATATGTACACAGATGACCATATGTTTGCATATATACAAATTCTGTTGAATAAATTATGACAGTGTTGCACATGTTATTATGGAAGACCATAAGCAAGGCTAGTTGTTTAAGGAAGAAGTATCTTGTTAGAACAACCGGTATGAGAGGAAGGGAGGCACAGACAGGTGCTTAGGCCAGTTATCCGTTCCAGACTGAAGATCTGGTTGTGTGTGAATGCTCATCTGTTCTGTCCACCTATGCTACCAGACTGCATTACTTGAAAGATGCTGTCACTTTAATTTCACTGTTTTCTCTTGCTGTGACTAGCTGTTTGTTAAACATTTAAGATCCTTCCTGGGGGTCTGCACTATTGTGATTATACAAACTAAGCAAAAAGATACAAAAGCCTGTAACCACAATTTCTTTTTTGCTCTTTTGACACAATTCGTTTCCTCTGAACACCACAAGTTTGTGGTGAGGACTGATACACACTCACACACACCTTCCCTATGGTAGTGCTGTGCTCTACCTTTAACTCAAAGAGCAGCTGTAGAACCTGTTCTGAAATACCTTTATTAGCTATGCACCTGTTACTGTGCATAACAAATGGAGCTGTTAAACATGATGAGATTTTATTGTGTTTAGTCCCTTTATTTGAACCATCTTGGAACCGACTTGTTTACTCCAACAGTTACATGGCTTGCAGTTACATAAGTGAGTACGAACTAATGTGATTGTGTCCAGGCTAAAGCAGATAAGAAGCAAGAAATGCCGTAGTGACACTTTCGTGTTATCAAGCAGATGATGAAGTAAACCATATTAAAGAAAGATGACACTTGGTTGACTACTTTTTAATCTTTGGTTTAGGAAAGCTACACTCTTAATATGGGAGACTTGGGACGATATGGTAGCTTGGAGGAGGAGGACTCAAGTATGCAGGAATGCAAAGAATTACTCCCAGTAAGGCTGTTACACGGAAATGCTGAAGCTGTGGGTGCATTTAGAGCAAAAAATTATGTCCTGTGAACTGACTCTGAAATATACGAGATGTCTACTTTATCTAAAAGGGGCTGTTTTATTAGAGGTGTATTGGTACTACCTCTGTTAAACATTTCCTTAATCAGCCTTTTGGGAAATTTGCTGTCTCCAGGCTTGCTTATATTCAGCAAGTTGCTGAAGTTTGTAGTTGCATTTGAGAAGTTGGGTAATATACTGCTTTCATGACAACCTAGTTGCTGAGCAAATGGTTTATAGTGATTTATGGGTAGGAGTAGAGGAACTGGCTTGAGCAGGAGGGCTACGAAATGGTCAATCTGTTTTCAGAACCTCACATCTGAAACAATGATAAATGGGCAGTATTGTTAAAACTGTGAATGTTAAAGCTATTTTGCACGGTACCAGGTTAGCTATGTTAAATCCTGTGATATTGGATTGAGGATAATTTAGAAGTCATTGTGGGGACTGGGGAAGGATTCTGGGAATACATCTGAGAGTTACATAGACAATCTGTTACTAGCAAAGCTTGAAATATCTTTGTGTTGGATAACTAAGCACCCACCAGCTGCTCACTCACTTCCCTCTCCCCCGCCAGTGGGAAGGAGGAGAGAACTGGAAGAAAAAAAGTGAGAAAAACCCATGGGTTGGAATAAAGACAGTTTAATAAGTAAAGGAAAGAAAGAAAAAAACCAAGTGATGCAAGGTCAGTCACTCACCATCTCCCACCAGTAGACTGATGCCCGGCCAGTCCGCAAGCAATGGCTACATTGGAAAGACCAAACCCACAGGTTTTTTTGCTGAACACATTATATGGCAGGGAACATCCCTTTGGTCAGGTCTGGTCAACTCTCCCAGCTCTGTCCTCTCCAAACTTCTTTCCCAGGCCCAGCCTACTCACTGAGGGTGCAAAGTGAAAAACAGAAAAGGCCTTCATGCTGTCCAGTCACTGTTCGGCAACAGCTGAAACACTGGTATGCTCTCAGCGCTGTTTTAGTCACGGGTATAGAACACAGCATCATACTGGCTGCTATGAAGCACCCTCACCAGAGCCAGTTCAATCTTCTGCAGTATCTTAACAGAATAAAAATACATTAAAATAACTTTTTGAACAACTGTACTGGGTCAGTGTAATTTAGGATGTTGAGAAGTTAGCTTCTAAGTATGGAAAGAACCATGTCCAGACTGTACTCTTGGCAAAACAAACAGTCTTTGCTTCCTGAGAATACTGATTCCATTCCAGTCCATTGTGGGTGAACAATAGAGGTGCTATATTTCTGTATAATGATTGTGGACGTGGAGAATAGCATAAAATGTCTATTGTCTTACATAACAGATACTACTTGTTTTCTTCCTTATTTCTCAATTGAGTGAAGACATTCAAATTTTCAATATACTGTATATTCTTTTTTGAGTTAATAACCTGAAAGTTAAGATGTTAGTGCCTTGTGAAAGAAAACCATGTAGTATATGTGTATGTATCAGACATTACGGCACACACATTTCTGTAAAGAAGTACACTCAAATTATATACAAGGGAAAGTATTTTCCAAATGCATGTATTAAAGCAGTGACATATCTGCATGTAGTGTGCTTGATTAGTACAATTAAAGGATGTAAGAACATGTGATAAAATATGACACAAATTACATGCTAGACATGGTATCCGTATGAGTTAATTGGAAATTACTGGCATTTTTTTTCCAGTGGTTTTAAGCATGCATGTCCTGTGTTGGCACTATGGCAAAAGTTCACCTAGGTGGAGGTCTTACTGTGGAAGTGATGAGACTGAAGTGTGTCTGTTGTGATGTCAAATATTTGGTAGTGCTGAGGTGCTGTTGGAAAAAGCTAGAGAGTTGATTAGGTCACAAACTAGCATTATCTTCTTGCAGTATGAATGCAAGTAGCTTTTGGCTCTCCACACTTGATGTTATGGTCAAACCTGGAATCATCTTCAGTTTTTCAGATTGCCTTTTCAGTATTTTTACTTGTTTCATGTGGTGAATAGACGGTCACATAGATTTTTTTGGCAAACACTTGTGGTGTCTCAGATTAAAAGAAAGGAGTGACAAATCAACACATAAGACCTTTAGGCCTCACCTTTATGTGTTATCTCATTGTGGAAATTTGAGTAAAACAGTGGCTTGAAAAGTTAATTTGTTGAGGAAAACATGAAGTCTGTTAACCTAAATATATCTGTGAAATGCAGCACTGTAATATTCCAGTGCTTTACCATACACACTTCCGTGTGTATGCATCAACCACCACAACTAAGTTTGAAAGTAGGACTTTGTGCTTAATGTGTATAATTTATTTAGATATTTTTTGCAAATTGTTGCTCTTTATGTTAATCTATAATAAGTTGTTGACTGTGAACTCATTACCTTCATCTAATGTGGGTTTAAATAACTTGAAATTTACAGTTTCAGTAAGTTCAATACTTCAACTCTTAGACATTTATACAGTAGCTTGCAACATAAACTCAGGTGTAGTGTGAATAAAAGTTAAAAGTACACAAGCCTTTTTCCAAATGATGCATATCTGAAAATTTTAGGTTACCCAGGGAGCCATAATAAGGATAATTTGGGGTGAATGCTTAGCTGCCTGGATCTGCTAAGTAGCTCACAGTAATTGTAAATGGAAATGGGTTTGCACCGTACCAGGCTACTAGGAGGACAATTAACTCTATCCCAGCTGAAACCAGGACAGTCTTGCTTCTCTGAATAATGAAAAGCTATCCCCAGAAGTTGTCACAGCAGCTGTGTTTCTCATCTAAATAGCATTGTATTAGTGTGTGTACAAATCTTGTCATTGACTAGTGTTCCTGTTAATGGACTGCTTATGTAGTAGCCTAATCAGGTTCCCACTTGAGCTTCATTGAAAATATTAGTATAGCAATACTTCTACTTTTTTTTTTTGTAACTAATTATTTAAATACATTTGTCCTAGATGTGAAAGGTGGATTTTTTCTGTTTTTTTAACTGATTCATTGCTTCCAGCCTGCTATTTAGAGTTTGATTTTGAAGAAAATGAGTAATTTTTTTAATCACTTTTGCCTTGTAGGTTAATCTCCGAGCCACTGATGTGAAGCTTATGCGCCAGCTACTCATCATCAATGAAAGTATTGAATCAATCAAGTGGATGATTGAAGAGAAGGCCATTGCCAGCAGAGGTAGCAGTTTGAGTGGCAGCCTGTGCAGCCTGCTGGAAAGTCAGGAGACATCCCTCCACGGCAGCTGTAACAGTTTACAAGACTGTAGTGATGGACTGGATGGAATATCAGTGGGGAGTTATTTGGACACCTTAGTGGATGATGTCCCTGGTCACCAGACCCCTTCAGATGTGGACCAGTTCAGTGATTCTTCTATTATGGAGGACTCACAGCCTCTGCATAAGCATCCCAAAATTGATTCTGATGAGTACTACTGTTTTGGTTAATAAAAACCAAGTTCCAGTAGGACGCAAATGCACTTGTACTTACTCTTTTTCTTTGCTGCTATTTTATTTCATGTGCAAAACTCCCAAACTTCTCTTTGAAGGAAAACATAATATGATACTTTGATTCCATTTCATAAATTTCTGTTGCTTCTAACACATTTTTTCCTTGGTCATTGGGCTTTCCTTCTCCTGACATTTTCTTTTCCTTAATTTATTGTTGCAATTTTTCTTTTTTTGTTTTAATTTTTTACAATGCTGTATTTACAGGTCTTTAAAATTGGTGAAGAGTTTCCTAAGAGCTTTATCTTTAAAATGAGACATCAGGGAATGGGAGCAACAATTTTGTATTTGTTGGCAATAAAATATCTTCTGATAAATACACGTTGTGGTAAATTTTCTTGACTTCCAAGTTTGGCCTTTCCAAAGACACTGTTCTTATTAAGCCTTAAATCTGAATCTTGAAAATACCTTTTACAAAATATTTTTCCTTTTGTAAGAAATTATATTTGATTCTGTTAAACTGTCTTCACTTGGAATATAAAATATCCTGAACTTTTCTGTGTGGGGTTTCTTCTTGAATGTTCTCATCTTTCTTGTCTAATTATGATTTTAAATTCTTGGCTTCACTGCTGTCTTGCAGCGATGCATTCCAATACTGGAATCTCTGCATAAGAGTATATTACATTTTTGTGTTTCATACCTTTCATTTTCATTGAACCTGCTGTTTTATAGGCACAGTCTGTATCTGTAAAAAAATGAAAGAAGCATCCCACATTAAAAATATCCAATTCTAATAGTTTGGATACTAAGCCAAAATTCCTCAGCAGAGTTATTTTAAAAATGTAATTTAAAGTCTTGACAATTTTTACCTTGAAATTTCGAGGGATTTAGAGGGCACTGGTGAAATATTTTACAGGAGACAGCATGCTAGAAAGTATGGCCTGTTTTGCTTTTGTATGCACACCCTCATTTTTACAAGTTTACTTTGTCTTTACCGAATTTTATTACTAAGAGGAAGAGTTGCCCCTCTGTCTTTTCGTTTCCTGTTTTACAGATAAGAGTTTGCTTTAAGCTTTTTGTGCCTCCTGGTACTGTTGAGAGCTACGGCTAGTCATTCCTATTGGAAGCATCTGAGAAGAAATAAAGGGACAAACTGCTATCTGGAAAGTCTCTGGCTTTGAGACTCCTCTGGCCCATGCTTTCATACAGAAGATTAGGAGGCAGATTTTTGTTTTAATTGCTTCAGAATCATAAAGAAACAAGATTTTATCCTTCTAGAGTAAAGAAAAAATAAGAATAAAAGAAATAGAATTGAACTGAACAGTTTAACAGACTAATGAATGTGTATTTCCAGCTTACAGGTAATGAAAGAGATGTCTATACTTACATATCATTTAAAAGTATCCTGTCTTGCCATGTCTGTATTACTACTGCCAGTAAAGCATGAAATTCCCTCACTGAAGAAACTAATGTTTGCCAAGTATAACACAGGCTCCCTATTTAAAATATATTTTACACATGCTGAAGGAATAAAGCTAGTATATGCAGCAGTCAACATATGTTGGTTTGGTTCATTTTGAGATGAAGTAGTAGTACAATAATATTCTGCTCTTCCAAGCCATGTTTCCATGGATCTGTCTTGTCCAGGCTTGATCAACATCAAATGTGGAGAAAAGGTAAAAACTCAAGAAATTGAAAGTGGCAATTTGTGCTTTGTGGTTAACTCCTAATGGATGTAATCGTCTCAGTACAGTAGATGTCTGTGTCCCTCAAAATTAAAACCAAGATATGTATATTTTGCTTCAGACATCATGATTTATTCAAATAGAATGAGAGTGAGGAAATGTGTGGTTACCAAGTTTGAGGTTTCTCAGTTCAACTTCTGAGATCAACCAGGGTATTGCTGATAGCTTGTAGGAAATCAGAAGCAAGCCCTCAAATGACAATGCTGTGCTGACTTAACTTTTTTAGGTTTTTTAATTCCTTCCCCAGCTTATGACTGCTAGACATAGTTTGAAAAAAAAAAGTTTGAAGAAAAAAATCTTGTAAAAATTATTTCTCAGTGTACCATTAAATAGAACATCAACTGTGGATTCAAAATAGGTTTTATTACTTGACATTAAATTATTTGAATCTAGGGAACAAAACTAACTCCCTGGTGTAAAACTGTGACTCTCTTGAAAGTTTTTCTCTCTTTATTGCTTGGTGTGGAAGCTAAACATCAGGATGTATACTCCCTCTAATGTAATGAATGTGCAATATATGCAGCCTTTTCTTCTCCAACTGAGATCTTGGGCAGTAGGCCAAGATGCACATAAAATTTTTCTACTATGAAGGAAATTCAAAAATATTCTTAACATACCTCCTTAAGTATCCCCTAGAGTTATGCTGAAATTACTTTGAGGAAAATAGAGTCTGTAGCTGTCACCCACCCACTCACAGCTGTAATACTGAATAAAGAGTAATTACATCAGTGATAGATTTATCTTCATTATGATTAAAAAGTTCATTTAAATGGGAATCAAAGCTGGCAGAAAAAAAAGCCTACTACTAGAAGTGGTGAAATAAAAACTATATGTGACTAGAAGTTATTCCTGTATGTCTCTTGACTGGAAGTGGAGGAGTACAAATGACGAAATAGAGATGCCAGGAGACTATCAGAACAAAACAAGAATTTCCAGGTGTTGTATTTCTCATATCCAGGAACACAAACACCTTGGGTTTTAGTTTTGAAGCATTAAAACTTCAGAGATTTAGATTTGACTTAGATTCCTTAATTGCATTAGTAGGACTTCATAGCCAAAAGATAATAATTTACTCTGACTTCATGCTTAAAACAGACCATGAAATTTGATTATATACTAAAATGAATCCAGTAACTTACAATTGAAGTGCAACTTCACTATTTAGACAATGGAAAATATTCAATGCTCCTTAAAAAATATTCCCATTGGGTAATTAATTTTGCTTTTAAACAGTTTACATATTACTTCCAGCTTCCTCTTGACTTGGTCAGCCTTGATCTTGCAAAATCTTTGTCCGGTAAAAAGGAATCTGGATGCCCTCTTTAGCATTTTGCAAAGCTGGGTTCTTTTTCCTCTTGGGTTTCCTTGTAATATTTTTCTCATTTACAGAACTAAAAAACAATATTCAGTAGTATAGGGCAGAGTATCTGAAAGCACTTTATGTCTCTTTCAAATGGATAAAAGCAACAATTAATTTATTTTTTTTTTAAAGTGGAAGAATAGCAAACATAATTCATAAATTATCTGTCATTTTCTATCATCTTGGTTCTTCTGTCACTTAGCATGCTTCCAGGCATGACAAACAATTTCAAGACAATCTGTGAAATCACAGCCAGCGAGCAACAGCCAGTCCATTCTTAGTTCCATACTGCTGAAATTTTGTCTTTGAAAGGCATTCCACTATGTAAGCTGTGTAAATCAGAGGCAATAGGGGACAGTCAAAAAAAGATAGATTCAGTGTGCTTTCTGTTCTAAAATAACTATTCCCTGCTAATAATAGGAACCAGCTAGTAAATGGATGTGCTCTGGTTCATAAACTATTGAAGTAGAAAAAAAAAAAAAGCTCAAACTTTCACATCTGAAAACCGTGGTGCTTTAAAGGTTGTGATAAGACAGTCTAGCTGTGGAGTTTTGTTGCACTTTCAAAAGAGCAATTAAAATTCTTTGAAATCTCGCTGCCAGGTTTAGTATTGATCTCAAGGTTGCATGACTTTGTGTCTCCACAAATGCTATGAGAGGTTGAAGAACCAAGCAGGAGCTCTTGGATCCATCAGTACGCCAGAAATGTTGTACTAGGACACTGAAAACAGAACAGCATCTCTGCCTTTGGAAGGTGCACTACCACTATCCTGCAAATTCAAACAGGATGATAAAAAAAGGCAGAAATCTTGTCTATCTTGTTAAAATGAGCCCTGACTTTTGAAGGGAGTGGAAGAATGCTGGAAGTACTGTCAAAATGTTTGAAAGTTTGAAGTTTGAAAAATCTTTCTCTGCATATCCCTTTGAAAAAGAGAACTGGTTAGTCAAGGTGGGTGAAGTGCAGTCTGAAATAATGTCTGGTTACACCATGTAGTTGCATCTCATATAACTCTATAGAATTCACTGAGAAACTGTGGGGGTTTTGTTTTGTAGTCTTAAGCAGTTACTAAGCTGTCTAAAAAACCTGTGCTAGTATTTTTCATGTTGCCAACACTTCTGAACCAAGCCTAAAAGATGTGTCTTTGATATAAAGAATTAACATATTCCCAATAAACATGAGATCAGTAGAAAGCATCCATCACCTTACAGCAAAGGAGGCTTTGTTTCACTTTAAATGTGCTCTGTTACAGCAAGTTTGTCTTTCTCAGAATGGCTATGAATATGCTATAGAAACAGTGTAAGAGTATCGTGCCCTGAAACAAATAGAAGCTTTTCCCTTATATAAATTAAAAAGAGATTAATGCTGCCTGCACTTGACCTTTCCATTGGTCAGAGATTAAATTTCCCTAGTAAGTGTATCTAGAGTGAAAATAAAACAATTTCTCCCCCCCCGCCCCCGGAATTTTCTTTACTATGCCATAGAACTAATAAGATAAACAATCTTCACAAAGTCTTTTTAAAAGCATGCTGTTCCAGCAAACATGTCTGGTCTTCAGGACTGACATTTCCCTATAGTCTTGCTTGGTTTTGTTGGCTCAGTCCCAAAACAAACATGTTTGAAAAGATATGTGTTTTAGTTACTGTTAGGGGACCATGTGATACAAATGTTGGAGAATAAATATTGGTAACACTTTTTTTTTTCCCCCCCAAAAAATTGGCTGCAGAAACTATGTTGATGTTCCTGAGTAATTCTTTATTTTTACCCCATTTTTGTCTGACATCCATATGGAGAGAAAGCAGCAGACTGAGCCCAGAGGTCTGAAATCATGATGTTAGCCGTGCACTGTAGAGCACACTAATATTCAGTGCAAACTTGTCAGCACTGCTGCATCCAAAATTTTACAGCTAACAGCTATAACATTATAATACATTAAAACCCTTTCATATGATCACTGTATTGATCATCTTCTGGAAACCCGTGAGACCACTGAAACCTTTTTAATTTAGAAAGGCTACTGCTTTGATTTTGTCAAGGAAAATGTTATTGTTAGAACAGC